ATCAATCAATCAATCAATCAATCGATTTAATGAAAGTATCCAAAACTTGGAGTTATAGGCTCCTTAAAGTACAACAGTGGGTCAAAAAGCTTTTTCAGATTGTTTCCATATTTGAATGATTTTATATAGAATGACCCTGATGTATAGCATGAACAAACATGTAAGAGACACATGTAGATAAAAAATAGAGAGTAGCACACATGTAACATATTGAAAAATAAGTTACCTGATCAGTGCTTGGTGTGTCTGAAATATCATTCATGCTTCTACTCTGAGCAGGATCTGTAAATGGAGCAAATGAGACCTTTTGGATTAGATAAAAATAAAAGGAAAATAGGTTTTAATGCTTGAGTGATGTTCCCATCAAGAGCATTTTGTTTCATTTAGTGAAAATTGTAAATAAACCCCAATAAATGGTCCTTTGAGCAACAGAAAGAGTATGAACTTAATCATGAACAGCCTTTTCTGTTGGGGATTATATTTTAATTATTTGCTTCTCTTTTTTCCTCAAGGAGATTTGGGAACAAATACAATCAAAGCAAAATAATAAGAACATACTACACAAATCCTTTACTAATCCCTTTCATGCAGATGGCTGCACATAAGAAATCAGCAAAGGTGCACACAATAGGACCAATAATCTCTCAAGTAAACACACTTTATGCTTAACACATTTCACATATATACATATATACACACACACAAAGCCATCACAGGTGTTGAAATCATGCAACAGCTGGGATTGGCTGGGATAATTTTTGTCATCAAAAAAAAAAGATGAAAAGCATAGATATTAAGAAAGGAAGAGCAAAGAATTTAAAATCTGGCCACCAACTGGAAATACTAACAAGTTCTCAGTACTCGAATTTCATGGTGTACTAATACACCAATGAGAACCTATTTAGAAGTAAAAGTCAATCTTGTAAACGTATGTATCCTTGTGTAGTGGTGCATGTATTACATGTGTGTGTTTGTGTGACTCACGCAGGCGGCCAAGGCTGCTTGACTGCCGAGAACGTAGGTCTTCTGTGGAGCGGTGGATCCCAGAAGTTGAACTAGTGCTACGACTCAGATTAACCTGAGGACTACGGCCTGACAGAGCAGCAGCAACAGCAGTGATTTTGTGAGGGAAGGTGAAACAGGTAGTGAGCAACATGGTGGAGAAAACAAAGGTTGTCAGGAGTTGATTAGAAGGTTAGATCACTTTCTTTCATAACTACTAATTGGTACATAAAAAGGCATACACACAGAATACACATGCTTACTAGACGCAGTATTGGATGATTTTCCCATGTCTGCCAGAGAGCGGTGGATTGGCTTCTTGGTCTGATGACGATGCTTCCTGAGCAACACAAATATAATCTTCTCCTTAAGATCAGGAGGAATGAGACCATCAGTTATCTGTTGTTCCACAATCTCCTCTGAAACAGAAAGATTCCAGCCCAGTTAATATGTTAACATTATACTTACATCTTCTTATCAATTTGGTATATCCAAATGGAAGCCTTATCACTGCTTATCACTCTTATAGCTTATTTAAAATTCAACATAATCCACTTTCTGAATCCATACTTTTTAGTGTATGAGAAATTGAAACCATTTAACTGTCTGGCAGTTACCTGGTGAATGTTAAGAGGTGTAATGTACATACAAATACATGAAGCGTGGCGATTGTGGACATTCCCTTTTAACCCCTTGTAAGACAGTATTTTTCAAGACCACTGAATTCTAACTTACTTAGTTATCAAATGTACATAAATAGAGAAGATAAATCTGATAACTAGTGTGACTGAGGGGGCTCGGGTTTGACCACCCGGCCAAACACGGGATCAATATCAATATCTTAAAGACTGAGAAGCAGTTAGAGCTTGGCAAGTCTCATCCCTGGCTCCATCTAAGCGCTATTTGCCTAGTGGGTAATACTCAAAGAATCAGAGACTCTTTAAACAGGGAGTCAGTTCCAGACTTCCCTGTATTTGGGGTGCCTGGTCAAAATTCAACATTTGGTGCCGTTACCCAGATCCAGATCAGAGACCTTTCAACATTAAGTCCCAGAAATGTGGTAGACAACAGCTACAGCCAAGAGAAAGTGTGCAGCCAACTGGATGTCAACCCAAAAATCCAGCAGGGGAAATCCCTGCTACAGAGACAAAACCTTGAGATAAAGAAGCAAAGCCTTCCAAACCCACATCAAAGGGGGCACCAGCCAAGAAATTGGGATATATAAACACGGGGGTGCATCGGAAACTGATGTAGGAGCAGCAGAAGGTCATCCTAGAGGCCCACCAGGCTGCCACCTCTGGGGTTGTGAAATAACGGCTTCAGAGGCATGGGTCATGATGTCTGTGGGTCAGACAGGATATCTGCACATCAGCCTTCAAAAGGAGGAATACAGTGTGTTATGTATTTAGCAATAGCAATACATTGCTTATTGGTACTATTTTATGTTCTTCGCAGAACAATACCAAATGTGGTGCATGTGCAGATGATCTGCCTATGCTCTTCCACAACATGTTTAATAAAGTAAGTCACATTTGCCTAAAAGGTTTGCAATGTGTCTAAGTAGTTAAATGGTAAAATGGTAAATGGCCTGTATTTGTATGGTGCTTTATTTAGTCCCTAAGGACCCCAAAGCGCTTTACACGTTCAGTCATCCACCCATTCACACACACATTCACACACCGGTGATGGCAAGCTACATTGTTAAGTTATATAAGAGAACCTAACAAACTAGCAATGAGGTGTGCCATTATTTGGGCGTGACTGGTTGAAACACATCCACCTCAACTTGAAATAAATTAAGTCAATGAGACTGGCAGTGTACATTCTGTGGCTCAAAGACTGAAACAGATACTTAATAAAACACGCTCAGATGTTCAAAGAAGGAATTGGCACTCTGAAAAATATTATATACTGGAGGACAACGCATAACCAAGATTTCACAAGGCATGTCCTGTACCTTATGCTGTAAGTACCCACTTCAGCAGATAGAAGTCAAGAAAGAAAACATATAAGAAAAACATCCTTGTCCATCAAATGGATGAAGACAAAAAATGGAGTGACGGAAGGAGAGGTAAGTGACAGAAGTGACGTAAAGGTAAGTGACAGAAAGGAAATACTTTAAGTGAGACTTCCAGAGACTTCGCAGAAAAAATAGAATGGTAGGTCAGAACTGAGTGGTAGCTCAGAATTAAACAAACATTTTTTAACCTTCAATATACCAAAGTATACCAAAGTATACCAAACCATTGACAAATAACTATCCATATCTGCTTAATCATTTCCAATTGGAGGACGTCAATGAGAATTTGAACACTCTCCAAGATCTCCAAGGCCCAGAGCACATCTTCCCTAACCAAGAATGAGATGCCATCCTCCAAGTCACCCAGCTGACCCCCCTGGTACAACATCGCTGGCCGGCAAAGACTTTGCCAACATCCTGAATTAAATCGATAAGCGATTGTCCCGCTTCAACGCAAGGTTGTCCTTAATGGAGATTTTGCACCGAGAATTTAAATCCCTGAGGGAATCTCTGAAATTCAGCCATCAGGAGGTGGAAACACTTGCTGCAAAAGGTCTGCAGAGCTGCTGCAGGGGAGGCGGACGCGCTGCACGGCATCTGCAATCACGGCATAAAAGACTGAACTAGGTCCCAATCTTTCTAGAGTGAATTAAATTAAATGAGTCTTCACTAATACCATGGGAACGTACACATATTTGGAACAATCCTGACATACTACAGAACAATAATATGATAAACTTCCCAGTTTGGAGCTGTAAATTTCCTTAGGGATTAATAAAGTATTCTGATGCTGATTCTGAGAAACGAATGAAATACTTGGAACATATAATTGAAGGTAAAGAGTTTTCTGACAGATTAGTTAAACAATATGGGATTATCAAGAATAAAATAAGACTATTTTTTAGAATATCAACAAATTAAATCTATATATCTATATAGATATTTATATTCTGTATGACTCACCCACGATCTGTGGCAGTGAGTAGCCTTCTAGGTCGAGCAGAATACTTCCTGTCTGCAGGCAGGTTCTCAGCTCAAACAGACTATGGAGGGTGAGTGTGGAAACATGAGGCTTGCTCCATCTTTCTCCTCCCTCCTCCACCTTCTCCTCAAACTTCACCCATCTACAACAAGGAGGGCAAATTAAGTTTTAATTCCCGAATTCAGGAAATTGTTACCTTACTGTGTGTATGTGCGTACCTTGCAGACTCTTTCCACTCTAATTCACCGCCCTCCTGCTGTAATGTATCCATCTCAGTGAATATTGTTGGTGTTGGAGTGCTATCATCCTCTCCCAGTATGTGGCGCAGCCTTTCGGCAGCAGGGGACACTACAAACAGAGGTCAAACAAGAGACAAGGTTAGCTTCAGATATCCAGTATATCCCAGTCAGCCAGTTTAAGATGGATTTATGTTCATCATATACAGAAATTATATAAAATTTCCATTGAAGGGTTTGTCTAGGCAAATTACATAACATTACATAATTAGATAGCAACAATATTTTCATGCGACTTCGGGGAGTGAAGAAGTCACTTGGATGAGTGATGAAACATTTCTCCCACTGAAAACACTACATCCAGATGAACAGAATTGGGAACAATATTTTCATTAAATTCTTATTCTTTTCTGTTGTCATCATGTTTTTAAGGGAATATTTTAGAGTTTTTTTCTGCTTCTGGAGGATTTAAATCCAGCATTTTCCAGAGTATTGGAAGCTCCCAATTAATTACAACACCATCTAGGGGTTAAATATCTTGCTTCAGGTGTTGGTTCATTGCCACAGAGAATAGAATAGAATATATATATATATATATACATATAAAAATAGTAGGGCTGGTATTCAATCTGAATTGGCTGTAGGTTTGCTAGATTCTGATGAAGACTCGGTGTCAATACAAACTGATCTATGCTTTCCTGCCAAATTTCTCCTAAAATAAACTTGTATTATTTTGTAAGTTAATATAAGTTTAGACTCATATTAAACTTATATTATTTTCCAAAATAGAATAGAATAATCTGCCCCACTGATAAAGCTCTCACATAAACATTTAGATTCTTATAGCACTTACTTTTTTCTTTTCTTTTAACTGTAAATAATTATATGTTATATAAACAATCCCCATTAGTTATCTCAAAAAGCAAAACACATGAGTCAGTTCTCTAATGACTATTTGAGAGTAATGTGCACTATTTTCTAATTTTACCCTGAACAGATCAATCTCTATTAACATCCTTAGCCTAGAGGCACTACTCATTTGCATCCCACTGTTTGTGTGTGTTTGTGTGGGTGTGTGGGTGATGCGTGGTGGGGGTTGGGGCACTGGTCTTCTTTTATTCCACCTTACAAAGAAGTAAAAAAATAGTCAAAAATCAATAACTCAAACAAAGTGATAAATCTGAGAAGTTCCTATTATAAGCACAAGTTTCACAGATCTTTTGCGACAGTGATGTTGATCATTTCAGTTATCTTTTTATTAAAATTATGTAATCTGTGTTAGAGTGTGGTGTATAATGAAAATACAATAAAATGTTCCACGGTGCAACCAACAGAAGTTTCCATTACTGAGTTCTGTCACTATTGGTCGGACCACATTGGAGATTTGATTATGTTCATCTCTAACCAGCCAGTATAACTCCACAGAGGTTGGTCATGGTGAATTATGATTGCAATGTTAAAGATCAATTTGGACCACTGGACAAAAGGACAAATACCCTCAAGCCAGAAGCTGACTTAACAGACAAAAATCACAGATAAAGAAAATTTCGATTCATAAATCACAAAACAAATAACTAAAACTTTAGATAAACATTAGCTCTTTGTATCATAGTCTTCATGAACATAGTTGAATAGGTGTAAATGTTTTCTTTTTGTTCTAAATACTACATAATGAGGTTGTAATAAATCTACTCAGAATTCTGAATTTGTTAAAATCTTAAAATAGAATCTTGTTCCTTCAGTTGCCATGGTTTGTGCTTAATTTAAAATAATGGGGCATACTTTTGGTTGTGATGGGCTACTTTATTAATTCAATAATGTTATCAGCCATTAATGACCTTTCAGAATAATCAAAATCTTTGTATTATCTCCAAAGCTAAGAAAGTGCACACTATCTAAGCAATAGAAAATGTAAGGGAATGCTATTATACTAAAGGTAAAACTAGTTAGCTTGCAGCTTGTGCTTATTTATTTCAGGTTAATACGGTATTTTTTTAGTATTACTTTTTTATTCATTTATTCAACTTTACCTATTTGGGAGCCTGGCAATGTCCACTGGGAGGTTGTAATTGATGGGAAAAAGAGCCCAGAGTTTTCCATGCTCACTAAATCCTTAGACCAGAGACGCCAAAATCCCAAAAGTAACGGGTAAGATATCCTTAAACTTTGCGCTCAGAAAAAAAATATAGCCCTCCAACTTATTCTTGTTAAAGTTGACTGTCCTTTGCTCAACACTATTTGAGTGGAGACAAGTGACATACATTCACACTTTTTTCATATGTCTTTTCAGCTTGTCTTTTGGTATTTCAGTTAGCTGCAAATATTTTGGTGAGCAGACCTGCACCAGTCAAGCAGCTACAAAAAGGTTTCTGTAAGCTGTGATAGAATTCCACTAAAATCCCCAAATCAGCAAAGAGCCAGAGGCTTTAAGAGGGCTGATACACACCAGAGAGCCTTCTAGTACTCTGCTCCTGAACACAAATACTAACACACTCAGATGCAAGAAAAACAAGGACATTGCCCCCAACGTAACTTCTTCTTTTTGTCTCCGATTACTGCATCAGTGCCTTTACCTATCTATCTCAGACCTTGCGTTTGCTCTACTTTAATATGAATCCTGATAGGAGCAGGTGAAAATAATCTGCATACCACACACACTTACAGTCACACCAAATAATACACGCATGCATGCATGCGCACACAGTTTTAAG